GAATTAACTGAATACAAATTATCCTGGCATGCCTGAATAAGAAATCACAATTATATTTGATCATAATATATCTAGTCTAACTACAATAAGGGATTAATATTACTGGGATCAATAATATTATGTTGAACAGAATAGATTTATGCTTAAGTTCTGCTTTTATACCTTTGTTTGTAAAGTTAGCATACTCTTTTTTATATAAGTAGATGATCCTAAACAGAGCTTCAGCATCTATGTTTGGTGTGACTTAAGGACAGAAACAAATCATGTTTTGATGAATTTTGTTTTAATATGGATGATCACACTTGTTATATATGGGAGAACTTTCATCATGTAAATCACTTTTGAAAAGAGGAAATGAAGCAACCTGGTTATTAAAAGAGTACTTATTATTAAAATTTACAAGTTTTTTTAAGAAAGAAATATATATAGCATTCAAGATAAAATTAGACAAATTTATGTACTTCCTTGTGTATTAGCTGAGAATATGTTTTATTACCTGTTTTCATCTGGTTTACATAAAATAAAGAAAATATATATAATTATAATTGAACTTTTAAAAAAGAAAAGTAGGTATATTATAAAATACTTTTCTCCTTACTGCTACCTCCTTCCCTATATTACTCATATATCTCACACTAGTGTATAAACTTTTTATCTCCAATAGATGAATAAATATTATTGTAGGTTTATTTGAATGCACATATGTCAAAACATCTAGGGAAAAAGAGTACTGTTACATGGCATAGTCAGACATGAATAGACACACTCTTAAAATGAAAAGACAGACTTGGGCTTTATTTTCTTCTTCCTGAAATTTCAATTAAAAAGTAGTATCTTCGGAAGCTTCTCCAACCGACTAATATGTTGAAAATATTATGTATAAAAAAATTCCTTGCTTTATCCCACTTTATACAGAAAATGCCCAAGTAAACACCAATTACCTGGTTGGTCAGAGAAGGGGTTGGTAAGAGTGGAAAAGAATGACATTCAGACAGAACATGTCTAATGAGATAACATCTTCAGTTCAACTCACCAAGGGTATGTTGTAATTTCAGCTAAGACAGTTTTGGGGAACAATCAGGTGTGCAAGGTTAAATTAAAAAAATTTAAAAATGAAGCAAAAGTATAAGTACTACTTTAAAAAAATATTTCCACAGCAAGTGAAAAAAAATACACTTTAATTCATTTCTGGTTACTGAAAGGTTGGCACAGAGAGCTTCTTCTGTGTTGAAGGTTTAATAGCTATCACAGCATTTCGTAAATTTAAACTTGAATTGAAAAGCTTTTCTTGTCTTCGAATGAAAAATAGTCACATATTACTTACGAAGTAATTACAGGCTATGCAGCTGCCCTAAAAAGCATTACTATAAATGTGTTAAGCATGAACCACTACACAGACTTATTCAAATTTCATTAAATGTTAAGCCAAAGAAATGTCATCCTCCACACCACTCCATACAATTGCTTACCCAAGAACAATAGCCATCTCTCTAATCAGGGACCTAAATAATGTAATAGAATCAATGTTGTTGATTTAGGCTTTGGTTGGTTAAAAGTCATTACTGTTATTCCTCACCAAGTAAAGAGGTCTCTTTCTCCCTCATTATGCATAAGTGAAGCTTATGCTAATGTGAGCAGATCTAAGAATGAATAAGCTTCTTTAAAACACCATTTAAAGACTGGGAATTCATGAGAAATGCATGGCTTCTGTCATGATAAAAAGACTGACCTCAATTTCTATAGTGCACTGATCCATGCTTTAAGCCTCTCTAACTTACAATTTAAAGCTTACACAGCACTTACATTTGCTTAGTGCTTTAAAATTATTTAGCTGGTTACAAGAGCAGTACAGCAATATCATGCCAGTAATCAACAAATAAAGAGGCCAAAATTAGGAAAATGATTTAAAGGTGAAGTTTATAGTTGATGAAATTTCAGTAATGTTTTTAAAGCCCTCAACATATTTTTCAAAAGCAATTAAAATTTGAGGAAAATTGTTGACTATATACAAAGAAACCAAAATCCACTGCAACAAAGTTAATTGTGAGGTATAGTGATACCCCATTGGGTTTCTAAGGTTGTAAATCTAACGGGAAGGAGAAGGCCTATCTTTCACAGAGGAAGAGAAGAGCTGATGAATTCGAATCATTAACCTTTTAGCAAAGAGTGAACAACACTACACACTACACCACCAATTCCTGAATATATAAAAGATAGGCATTAGCAATTCAAGCCTGTAAATGCTCTTTGATTTCTGAAAAGTGAAATAAATTTTACACACATACACACACACACACACACACACACACACAGAGAATTGCTATTGTTGTTGTTAAGTGCTGTCAAATCATAGAGGACTCGTAGCGATCCCATGAATGCAAGATCTGAACACATGCATAACTTTCATCGTTTCTCCAAGTTCATAGAGTTTCCAGGGGCAAGCTATTTCAGAAGTGGATGCCGCTCCTGCTTCCAAGCTTGTTTTGACTGGGGAGCTCCACCAAACACTGTCCACCATGGGTAACCAGGATCACATTTGACATATCAGTGTCACAGTGTTTAGCATCACAGCAACTGCAAGTTACCTGTGTACAGCTAATGGATAGACCAGTGCTATACCACTTAGAAGAATGTTTTACCAAAAACAATTAAAACCAGGCCTGAGTGCCACAGATTAAAATCACCCACCTTTGGCTTGGTAGCATAACTTTCAATCCACTAGGCCAATAGAGCTTTCTTGTTGCTATTATATACTTTCAAATAAAAATTGACTCATAGCTGACCATCCAGTGGCATTTCAGAGTCCGTAAATTGCACAGGAAGAGACTGTCCATCTTTCTCTTGCAGAGCAACAGATAAATTAAAATCATGTGCCTTTGGGTTGGCAATGGAACTCCTTACCAGTAAGTCACCAGAGCATGCTCTCTCTCACAATATATATAGTACACATATATAAAACACTATATATGTAGTGTATATATAAAACTATAGTGTACATACATAACACTATATATATATATAACACTATATAGTATATGTATAAAAACACTATTTATATACATATATAGGTTATATAAATACATACATATTTAAAACACTATACCCACACACACATATATATACATATACACACGATAGTTTAGATAGATAGATACATAGATACATAGATACGTAGATACATAGATACATAGATACATAGATTGATTTGTCCTAGAGTGGGTGAAAAGAGGCTGCTCCTTGGAGGCAAGGATTCTGAGGCTTCGTCTGAAATATTTCGGGCATTTGTAAGGAGAGACTGGTCCTTGGAGAGGGACATCATGCTTGTAAGGATAGAGGGATGGAGAAAGAGAGGGAGATTATCGATGAGATGGATTGATATTGTGACTGGGGTAATGAGATTATGTGTTTCAGACACAGTAAAGTTGGTGCAGTAATAGAATAGGTTTCATGGCTGTTGTATATAGGGTCGTTATGAGTTGTAAGCGACTCAACAGCACATAAGAACAACAACAAAAAATAGTGCTGCAATAAACATTGATTCTCTTTACTTTTTAATTACCATATCTTCTCCACCAAGAAGGTAGGAGGAGTCTTCACAAATCTTTCCTGATAATAACCAACTTCTAAAGCTTTATGTCTGACAGCTAAATGGAAAAAGAAACACATAGACTATTTTAGTCTGAAAAACATAGTGAATTATTATTTTCCTTTTTACCAACAGGCTCACAAAAACTACTATTTCACACTATTTAAACTACTAGTCATTTGAAGGTAATACTATTAAATCTATGATTCTGGAATGTATGGTATGTATACACCTGAGATACAAAAATCACTGAGATTTTTTTTTAAATAACCAAGTCCAGAAATTATCAATTTTGTTGCTGATGAAAGTACATAAAACATTTATTAAAGTATGCTTAAACTTAAGTCAGTTAAATACTTTTTTTAAAGAAAAATATTAGGGATGAAAACCAGTATGTAACATTTTATATAAAAACTATGGGAGTTCTTGTAGCATAAGGAGTTAAACAGAGCCTCTCTGGCATCTTGAATCCAGCAGTGGCACTGAGGGAAAATGAAGGGTAATCTTCTCCCATGCACTGTATAGTCTTGGAAACCCAAGATCTAGAAGATCAGCTATGAGCTGGTGCCAATTTGAAATCAATGAATGAGTGATGATTTTACTAGGAGTTCCTGGGTAGAAAAAAGGCTTACCATGTTTGTTGCTAACAACAAATTGGAGATTTCATACCCATATAACGGTACTTTTGAAAAATAGTCTGATAATCTAATTATGAAAATAATCAGCCACTGGAATCTTCTGGAGCACAGTTCTCTGACATTCTGACATATATGGGGCTTTGAAAGTCTTTTATTCAAAGGAGTTTGGACCCTGAAGTTGGGTTAATTTGATTAACACTCTTTGGGGAGCTGGTAGGCTCTTACTTAAAGCAATTAACACATAGAAGTTATAGAAGTGAGAAATCCTCTGTGTGAATGGTTATGCTGACTACTTATTGACTTTTCAATGTTCTACTGAATCTCTCTGTTTTGCTCCTGCCCTAAAAGTCAACTACAGTCTGTAGCCTTTTGTTAGTGATGCTCTGAGCACTGAAGGAAAGATGGGGGTCTCCAGTGTGGAGTCTGAAGAGTCGTGGAGCAGTGCATGAAGGGGGCAAGTGGAGTAGATAGATTCAGCAGGAATAAATAACAATCTACAGGGGACTTTGATAAAGAAATGAAAGAAATCTTAGTATTGGGAGATAACAGATATAATGGCGGAACAGTATATAGGTAAATATTCAACAAAAGACTCATCAAAAGTTTCAAAGACTTCATACAAATAGCACACACTTGGCTTCCACAGAAAAATTAGAAGTAAAAATAATATACTATGATACAGAGGGGTTAGATGGTAAAAACGTAGAAAGTTTTGTTTTTTTTTTCATTTCTAATTACTCAAAAGCTATGCAAGAAATGCCTTTTATAGTTCTTACCTTCCTCTTGGCAAGTCTGCATCATCCTTCTTCCACCTTACAGTGGGATGAGGATCTCCTTGGACCTGACATCGAAATTCTACAGCTTCTTCCTCCAGGACCACCTGGTTAATCGGCCTCCTGAGAAATGTTGGTCGTTCTTGAGAAATTAAAGAATGAAAAAAAAAAAAAAGAAATGAAATGTTGTGCATGTTTTAAATAAAATGCAGAAAAAAATAAGAGTGAAAATGGCTTGAATCATGTATCTCCCTCTGCATTTGCACTATTTTTTTTCAATTTTTAAACTTTTATATTAGTTTGCATGCAAAATTTGCATGCATTATGTTTCATTCATGTACACTATGTTTCACATATTCCTTCATTCACACTGTGTTTCATGTAACCATTCATATACCTTGTATTACATAAAATGAATCACCATTGATCAATTACTATTACCCCACTTTTTTAGATCTCCATTATATCCTTCCTAATTCCTTCAGTCCACCTTGCTGTCCACCACATTCTGTAATCCTAGTGATTTTCTCCCTCCTCCCACACTTCACCTCCCCAATCAACTTCCCCTTCCTCTTTTGGGCTTTTATATACATTTTATTACTTATCCTTCTGTTTTTACAATAATGGTCTTATGTAGTATTTATTCTTTTGAGACAGAGTTAGTTCCCTCAGCATAATGCTCTCTAAGTCCTCCCACGTTATATGCTATTTTACAAAACTGTTGCTCCTGAATGCTGCATAGTTAAGTATTTCGTTGTGTGAATGTATCACAATTAATCAATCCGGTCCTTTGTTTATGGGCATTTGGGATGTTTCCAGTTTTTTTTTTTCCTTTCTTTCGTGAATAATACCACTGTGAACATCAGTGTATAGATCTTTTTGTGTCTCAATTCTATTTTCCTTGCGGTATGTTCCAAGCAGTAGAATAACCGGGTCAGATGAGACTCACTGTTCAGCGTTTTGAGAAAATCCCAAACTGCCTCCTATCAAGTGGTTATACCATATTACAATCTGACCAGCAAGGGAAAAAAAAAGTTCCAATCTCTCCATATCCTCTCCAACGTCATTTATTGCTTCCCATGTTGTTAAACTTTGCCACTGCTACTGGGGTGAGATGGTATCTTATTGTGGTTTTGATTTGCACCTCTCTTATTTCCATTGATTTTGAGCATTTCTTCATGTGTGTGTTGGTCATCTGAATATCTTCCTTTGTGAAAAGTCTTTCCAGGTCTTCTGCTCATTTTGTGATTAGATTATCAGTCTTTTCCTTATGTAAGCCCTCTAGATTCTTTAAACTTTTGTTATGAGACCCTTGTTTGAAAAGGCATTGCCAAATGTTTTCCCCCCCAGCGTATAGGTTTTCTTTTCACCTTGTTGTAAAAATGTTTTGATGCATATTTGCATTTAATGTTTAGAACTTCAGTATATTTATAAGTTTTTATGATTCCATTATAAATGAATGGGAGGAATATTTTGGAAAAGAAGAATAGCTATGGTAGTTGTGGTCTATAATTAAGATCACACAACTCTAATTGTTCTTATTGTTATATGTCATCTAGTCATCTCCAACTCATAGCGAAATTATGTACAACAGCCCTTAACCCTGCTCTATCCTGTATCAATCTTATTGTCTCTGACACACCTACCCCATCACCCCAGTCATTGAATCAATCCGTCTCATAGAAGGTCTTCCTCTCCCGTGCTGTCCCTCTACCCTCCCAAGCATGATATCCTTCTCCAAGGACTGAACCCTCCTTGAAACATGTTCAAAGTATTTCAGAAGAAGCTTCAGAATCCTTGCCTCCAAGAAGCAGCCTGGCTTCACCCTTTCCAGGTCAAATCTGTTTGTTCTCTTAGCAGTCTATGGTATATTCAATACTCTTCTCCAACACCATAGCTCAAAGGCATCAATTCTCCTTCTATCATCCCTAATCACTGTCCAGCTCTCTGATCTATAGCAAGTGATTCCAAAGACTATGGACTGTATCAGGAGCATCTTAGTCTCCATACTGACATCATTGCTCTTCAGTACTTTAGAGAGGTCTCTAACTGTAGACTTTCCCATCACAATATGCCTTTTAATTTCCAGGCTGCTGGATCCAAGAGTGTTGATTGTGGAGCCAAGCAAATTAAAGCTAAAACTAGATTACAACTCTAATTACCTAATTACTTTGTGAATTTTTGAGTCAAGTCATGTGCATCTTACTTTTTAAAAAAAATAAAAATTCAAAATTGAAAATTTAAATATATTATCTCAATCTATTATAATAGTTCAGAGTGCAAAAACTAAAAGTAGAAATCCATAAAAAAACACCAAAAATGAAATAAACATTAATTTTATCAAGAATGTTAAAAGAAGAAATAAGTTCCATCTCATATATACATACATATTATTTAAATATTTCCTCATTAGGCTATCATTTGACAAGGATCCAGTTCTTCTATGAATTTTTCTCTTTATATGTGTAAAAACTGTCTATGGAGGGAGGGTTCAATGTGTTTTTATGTATAAAATATTTGTCATTACTTATGATTGCAAACTATTGGCTATTATACATAGTTTTCTGAAGCCAATTCTAAGCATCCTTCTTTAAATCCTCCAAATATTTGTCCATGTTACTTAACTTTTATGTTTCTCTCAAGTATTCTGTTCTGCTTGGTGTTTGTCTTTTGTTAATCTTCCTGCATTCAACCATTTCTCTACATAAAGCATAGAAAAACAGATGTCCCACTAGAAAAATTAAAATTTATCATAAAGTTTCAATTCATATTCAATTCTTCCTTTTTTCATAATGACCTAGTATTAGAAAAATGACAACTTTAAATTAGTAGTAGCTTTAGTCTCCAAACTATGGGTGTTAGGAATTAAGTTGTATCATAATATAACACAAAAAATTATATTGTGAATCCTAAACTCTATTCCTGGTTTATCATCCAATTTGAGAATGTTCTCTTTGTTATTTTATTGAGACAGAATTATTGTAGGCTATGTTTTGGATTAATCTCTTTTGGGATATAATAGAGATTAGATAAACAAGAGATTAAGCAGAAAGGAGGGAAAAGAGATGCCCAGATAGATAAAGATTGCAAAGAAGTAGAAGCTAAAAGACAGAAGGACCTTCCTACAGAGATAAAGAAAGGAAGCCTTAGCCTAGAGGTTCTCTCTCATTGGTGTCAAATCAGAGCTGACTCACAGCTGACCCTCCAGTGGGTTTCTGAAGCTGTAAATTGCACAGGAGGAGACTGCTCATCTTTCTCCTGCAAGGTAGATGGTGGATTTGAACTGTCAGAGAGGCACAGCCTTTCGGTTAGCAATGCAACTTCACATTAAATGTGGAATTTTGTCTCCCTAAAGTGTGTGAAACCAAATTTTGTTTGTTAAAGTCATTTGTAATTTTTCTTTTTTTAAAAGTAGGACTCAAACACTAAGTTAAGTGTAATTTAGCACCAAGAGCGCTAAATAGGAGTGACATTTAGTACATTAATTTGGAATGGAGGTTGATGCTTTAACAAATACTTAGCTGTGAAAAAGGTTTTGGAATGTGGTAATAGTTCAAACAAGTTGGAAGAGCCCTGCTGAGGTAGAGTGTTACACATTTGGCTGCTATCTGAAAGGCTGAGGATTTGAAATCACCACCATGCTTCTGAGAAGAATGATATGCTATTTCCTCCCATAAGTATTTTAAACCTTGGGAAACCTGATAGATGGTCATAACAGTCAGAATTAACTTGCTGTCAATAGATTTGGTATTTGTATATTAGTAAACCCTGATTGTCTTGGAGAAATTGTTAGCAGAATTATGGATGTCAAGGTCAATTACAGAGGAGGAAAGAAAGGATTACAATACAGGTCCCTATCATCATAGAGAATGCACATGACACCATCAATAGAATGTTGCTGGAAATATGAATGTTAAAACTGCTTCTATTAAGGTTTTGAATGAAAATGATGACTATGTGATTGGCCAACGTTGGTGGAAGGTTAATCATTTTATGTAGTGGTAGAGAGCTTATCTAAGTTATCTTCAATTTTTGGTAAAAGGTAAAACTTGTAATGTATTCACCATAACACCTGCCTAAGGAGATTTCTAAGCAAAATCTTATAGGAGACACATAGTTTCTTCTTCTTGTCTACCAATAAAACAGGAGGGAAAAGAGTTGAATTGGAAAAGGAACTATTAAAAATGACAACAGCAATATTTGGAAAATTCTGTAGTCCTAGAACTTTCACTAATAATATGCCTATATAATCTTTTTAAAATATATTCAACTTGCAATTTATTAATCTAACCAACTAACCCAGCCAAAACCCCATCAGTTTAGCTCAGTGATGATAGAGAAAGAAGAAAAAAGAATTGTGTCTGCCTCTTGGAATTTGGCAGGTAGGGAAAAGGCCAAAGAAATGAAATCTGTTGTCCTCCTTGGAGAATCTTGGGAATGATCAAAACTTTTGGAAGAACAGGAAACAGAAGTATGGTAGTCTCAAAGGATGAGGCAAGGTAGAGTCAGGTTTCTAGTGTATGAAGCTGCCATTAAAGTGTGTCAGTGATATAGGGCTGTGATATGCTCAAGGGACATCTGAATGAGACCGACAGAGGAGGTAAGCTCACCACTCAGATAATTGAGAAGTATAAGCAGTCTAAACCTGAGGGAGCAGCTTTGTAATTCCAGAGACCCCGGAAGGGAGGCTAAAGCCCAAGGCTGAGAAGGCTTCATCCAGAACCCAAGAGCAGGGCCCCAAACCAGAAACTGGAGAGCACTATGGTTTTCTACATGGTTTCCGAACACAGGATTATTTTATGCACTGGAAGTTAACATGGCAAATTGTTATGCCCAGTGTTGGACTTTCTTAGTGCCTGTTATCTGTTTTGTTTTTTTCCTCTTCCAATTCATGCCATTTGTAAAACCATAGCAAAACAAGATTGCTTTTAAAGAATATCAGATTTTAGGTGCTAAGAATCAATAAGCAGATAGTACACCTCAGACAGCAGAACAAGTTTGCATGTGAGATGGAATGGTCGGTGCTATCTTTACAAGCTCTGCTCAATTTGTGTTCCAAACAGCTATTCCTATGCTGGCGAAGTGGGTGCTGAGTTTTGGTTTCTGGGGTTAAAGATGTTCCTCATGATTTCTTTGAATATT